GCTACATGTATTGCAGCTGTTTCTGGTGTCTGAATAAAGGATTCTGGTTGTTGCTCGTGTTGTTTTTGTTTCTGTTCAATAACCCACTGTACCACTTGATGTGCCATGTTCCATGGTTCATCAATCGTATGGTCTTCCTGAAAGGCTGCCTCGTACTCGGACAGTACTCCATGTGAAAAATTATTGTTGTCGCTGCTACCAGTTTTTAGTAGTAATAAATGATCCCGAAAGAGATTGGTGGCGAGACAACTCATACACAACCGTTGGGCTTTGTGCGTGTCACCAGCATCGAGATGGCATCCCGCCAAAAATAAAAGAAGAGGAGCCAGGTAGGATACGGCAGGAGATGCCACTGCCAGCTTTTCTGGCACTAACACTCTCGCTGTGGTCTTGGTTTCTTCCAATGCCGCCACTTCAATAAGAGCTTGTTCCCATAGTTGCATGGCTTGCAGCAAATCTTGTTCATTGTACCATAAACGAACACCAGCCCACCACAGATCCGTGATACTGGCAAAGTCATGGTCGCCATGGCTGTTATTCATATCCATCGTTGAATATGACTTGTCTTTGTCTATGGCATGACAGAGGCAGGTGGATACCAGCACTATCTACCGGTACGGCTGTATGACGGAGGAGTGGAAGTGGACTGTGGACAACAGTGCACATGATGTGGTGTGGAGGGTGTGAAAGCTTGGATGCGAACCCTCAAAGATATCAGTCACGGATATGAGTCCCGATTGCACTCACTTCTTGGTTGGATCTTTCACTCCATGGGAGTTCTCACTTCGTGATTGCTTTCTTCTGGTTCAGCCGTTGTTGAAGAAAATGCACCCTTCAAAACGATCCTGAGGTTGCTTCACCTCTGATCTCTGTGATGCGGTGCTCTGTGGTATTTTACATGTAATAGATATCATTGAAGTGACGAAGGAACAAAAATACCATTCAGCTACTATCTAACTACCGGTAGCTCTCGATAAGAATTTTGAAATTCAATCCATGATGATTTGCTCGGCTGCGAGACGCTACACGCTTCGAGCTCTCTCAAGGGGGGGAGCGCCCAGAACCAGAACTTCCTCTGTTGTGCCGTCGACCTCCAGTGCTGCCGTCTGGTACCGCACTCACATGAATCACGGTGGAGATCCCAATCTGAAAGATGTCTCTGCTACGGCGCCAGGACCTCGCTCTGCAGGCATTGGATTGGGATTGGAAGGTGCTACCGGTCTCCACAATATCCTTCGACTCCTGGAGAGTTCTCATGGACCACACGCCGTGGCGCTGCCATCATCGCAAGGGTTTGCCTGGCACCCAGAGGCGAAAATCTGGACACACAATGACACGGAGGGGTGGATACTCACCAGTATCGACAGTAGTAGTACGGAACAACAAAGTAGTCGCACAGCTACCATGACGACTCCATCGGTACAATGGCTGATTTTTTCAGATGCCAGAACCGCACTGGCCAAAGTCATGGGCATGGATGGATTGCCCCGTTATTTGTCCATTTTGCAACTCGATGAACACAAACCGCACAATGACGGATGGAGAATTGTGCGAGAAGTCATTAGTGCTGGTGGACGCAATTATCCTTCCAAATCCTTCACGTCCGTCAAGAGCAGTGTGCTGTCATATCTAGATGTGGAACACGGAGGGGGATAGACGACAAGGAACACGCCGAAACTATTTTCGCTGATCAAGCCAGTTTATTGACGGTGGGAGTAGTGACCACGAGACGCCGCAAGACTGGCAAGCTCCGGCCGGACACTTTTTGGAAATTCCAATGACCACCTATTTGGACGGGGTCCTCACGCAGACTATTCACGGGTTTGAAGCCTCTCAACATGACGATATTGTATCCATTGATGTCCTGCCCTGTGGAAATGCCGCGGCTGCCGTCGTAAGAGTTGGAAATGGAAATCAGTCACAAGTCTTTGAAGATCATTTGCTATTGGGACGATCCAAAGGTGTAGAGGATTGGAACTATTGGCGCATCTTATCCAAGACGTTTTCACCCCATCCATGGCCACAAGATGATGATGACTTGAATAGTACTACGTCGAAGACGACGACAATATAATAGTAGGCACAGGAAAAACCAGGCTGCTAACGCGTAGAAAATGCCTTTACAAATTTGTAGGAAACGTTAGGGGGGAATCAATTACATACGATTTTAGCAAAGAAAGCATGGATGTAAATCTTCGAGTGTAGCTAGTCTAGTTGCTTCAGATGCGGGCAACCTCTCTGTTATAAAACATGCGGGTTCCAATGACCGGATTCTTCTCGAGATCAAGTCGGATCGCCTTTTCCAAGACCTTCGCTTGAGCATTCGTTACGATGGGGTCAAAGTGGAATCGATAGCATTGACTCAACGATTGATCTACATGGCAGTACTCTTCCCGTAATTGAACCCGAGACAGCAAGTTCAACGATGTAGTTCCTTCATTGCTGGTAGTGTCTTGTTGCAGCTCCAAAAGATCATTCAAGTAAAACTGACCGCAGACAGCCCGTGCTCTGGTCAGAATCACCGAGCTACGGTCTACCCCTCCTTTCTCCACAAACAAATTTATATCCTTCCAGCTGGCATCTTTCCGACCCAACACTAACATCCTCCCCGCCAAGCCACCAATGTTCAACTTTGTTTGCCAGAGCTCTTTCAAATACCCCGCAAACTTCCAGGTACCATGAGTGAGTGCTTTGGAATCGGCACTGACCAGAACGGTGCGACCCACGGAAGGGGTCAACACTCGGACCAACGAGGCCAGGACCTTGGGGTAGCTGCAAGAGACATCGGACGTGCCACTGCTGGTAGCGGCAGCAACAGGTGTCTGATGTTTCTTCTTGTTACTACCGGCAAAGGGCAGGTCACCAAGGACCACATCGGCAATCCCCTTTCGAAGTGGTAAATTCTGAGCGTCCCAAACTATAAAATCCATCAATAATTCTTGATCATGACACCGGGCGGCAACCTGTTCGATTGCCTCCGGGCTCTTGTCGCCAACTATGCGAAAGGTGCTTGCCGGCGAATCATTATGCTCCATTGACTCGTATTCCAGTGTTCCTTCTCCACACATCAGATCGACCACAACACTAGCTGTCGTTGGCTGGTTGTCACCTGGCGTTCCACTCGACAGTTGGTGCATGGCCAAGGCCACAGGAGGTTTCACCGACTTGGACATCCATCCTAGACTGTGGTTTTGGACCCGGCTGGACATGGAATTGGCGATTGAGAGGGGTCGTTTGGGGTTGAGTTCCACAAATAGTTCCAATGATTTGGAGAGTTTGGCCTTGAGTGGGATCGAGTTCTTGTGTTTGGATGATCCCAAGGGCACACCAGCTCGACCCAGACCCTGAACAACAGCACTTGTGAATGAAGCCGTGGAAATATTAGGATGCATGCCTTTGTCACGTTGTGCAATCACGTGAATGCAATCGTCATCAAGTTCGTTGTGTGTATCCGTGTCCGAAATGGAGACTGCGTTGCCGGAAAGGGTTGTTGGTTGCTTTGGTTGTAGATCAAAGACGAGGAGATAACATTGCAAGTGTTTGGATTCCGCGGTCGATGGATCGTAAAAGGAATCTTTGGGCAAATGCATCCGATAGGCAAGTCGAATGGGCAATCCAAATGACTTCCAGGCATGGGCAAACTTGGCAGGGACAATTAATCCCATGAAGCTTGCCTTGAGTTGGAACGTGGCATGCTTCAGGAATTTGCCAATAATGGAATAATCCCCACGGGTTCCTTCCACAAAGGGTGGGTTCGAAATGATGCAGATTGATTCAAATGGTTTTGGCGCAGTCTCTTGCAGCCACTGCGTAGAGACCTGAAAGAAATCACGAGCGTGTACAGACGAATGTTGAGGATGTAGATCAACACCCAAGGAAGAATCCTGGGGAAGACTTTGCAGGAGAGCCCCAGATCCAGCCCCTGCATCTACCCATAGAATACCACTGCTGGCTGTTTGTTGGTATTCTACATTGTTTATTTCTTGCTCAACCAATTCCCGAAAGGTCTGAACTGCCAGCTTGGCGACTGCTGGTTTGGTGTAGATCGTGTTGACGTGGAAGGCTTCTGTTTTCATGGACTCTTGGCTGGTACCTTCCAGTAGGTTCTGTGGTAGTGCTGGAGTAGCGATGAGTACTCCTTCCAATGCACTACTGGCCAATGTATTATCGAGCAATGGTTTCCACAGCCGAAAGGCTTCGAGAGCTCTATCAAGCTGTGAGACTTCAAAACAGTTTTCTGTGACCCATTCGAGAAGATTAATGTCGTCAGCAGCAGGAATTTCCAGAGATAACACTTGCAACGACACATGATCTACAAAACGCAGCTTGAGGACTTGTAGAAGTAGACCAGAAATCTCGGTACCGTCCCTGAAGATGATATCTAGCAAGGATCCCGAATGTCCTCTGTGATGCCATACCACTTTCACTCGATTGCTCCCGGCATCCACATGTTCCACTACTTCTGCTTCAGCAAAGCTCTCCAGCCCGCCACTGACGGTGCAACGGAGGAGATATCCCTTCATTCCATCTTGGTTTGATGGAAAAGATCCAAAGGTTGGTCAAAATGCCTAAGCCAGCAAGAGCTGTCTTTTCATTTTCTTGGGGGCAGACGAGGGAGATCCAAGGGTCGGATCTTGCTTGGTGCGCCCCAGCGCGAGCAGCTCCACAGCAGAGCAGCACAGCACCCCCAAGCTACTCTTGCAGAAACCACCGGACGTCTGTAGAGCTCAGTACATTTCTACATGAGTCGTGGGAAGACCACCGGAAATTTGGGAGCTTGGAATACAAAAATAAAAATGAGACTTGGGAATAAACAATTATGGATAACAATAAGGAAAATAGCGTGTTCCGGTGGTTTTAGATTTCCGGTTGTTTCCGCGAGAGTAGCAAGCTCTGAACGGCACAACGCAACAGTTAGTTTACACCAATACAGAGAACGATCATGGAGGAAGACAACTGCAAGAGAGGCTTAGATGGCAACTTAGCGTCGCCACCAGAGCATCACAAACAAGCAAAACAACAAGCACATGTGGATATTTCGCAATCTTGTTTGAAGAATGAGGATGTCTGGATCAGCAACATTTTCCCTTTTCTTGGCATGGGGCACTTTGCCTTTGTGGCACCAGTCAGTCACAAAATGAAAGACCTGTACAAGGCATACTGTGAAACTGTAGAGAATCCCCCCTTTTCCTAAATGGATTTGATAGAATTGCTGCAACCAACAATGACACATTCAACAGTGCCACTTTCTGCAGTCTTTCCCGAGTAGAGTATTGGTACACGTACACAGGCGCTGGTGCAGATATTGACGAAGAAATTATCTGTGCTAGGGCTGCCAAAATGGGTAATCTTAAAGTTATTCATTGGGCCCGCCACAAGGGATTTGACTGGGATGAACGCACATGTGACAATGCTGCTCGCAATGGCCACTTGGAAATCCTCATGTATGCCCATGAAAATGGCTGTCCATGGGATGAAGATGCATGCAGCAATGCTGCCGAGCATGGTCATTTGAACATCATTAAATATTTGCATGAGAATGGATGCCCATGGAATGCAAATACATGCCGCAAAGCTACTGAGCATGGCCATTTCAAAATTGTCAAATATTCGCATGAGAATGGGTGCCCGTGGGATGCATATACGTGCAACTATGCTGCTGAAAATGGCCACTTGGAAATCATCAAATATGCCCATGAAAATGGCTGCCGCTGGTATTCATGCACATGCCGTGATGCTGCAGGAAGTGGACATTTGGAAATTCTGTAGTATGCCCATGAAAATGGCTGTCCATGGAATGAACGCACATGCAGCAATGCCGCCAAGCATGGTCATTTGGAAATCCTAAAATATGCTAATGAAAATGGCTGTCCCTGGGATGAGCAAACCTGCAGCAGTGCTGCTGCTTCTCCGAAGTTGGAAATCCTGAAGTATGCTCATGAAAATGGATGTCCATGGGATCGTGACACATGTGACTTTGCTGCGGCAATGGGTCATTTGGAAATCCTCAAATATGCCCACGAAAAGGGTTGTCCATGGGATGAACACACATGCAAGACTGCTGCTGATTGCTGTCAATTGGGAATCCTCCAATATTTGCATGAAAGTGGGTGCCCATGGAATCAATCTGTATGCAATGCTGCTGCTGGGAGAGGCCAATTGGAAATCCTCAAATATGCCCATGAAAATGGCTGCCCATGGGATGAACACACATGCATCAATGCTGCCGAGCATGACCATGTGGATATCCTGAAATATGCACATGAAAATGGCTGTCCATGGGATGAACACGTGCACCAAAGCAGCTGGGCACGGTCATTTGGACATCCTCCAATTCGCCCGCGAAAATGGCTATCCATGGGATGAACACACATGCACCTAAGCTGCCCAATACGGTCATTTGGACATTCTCCAATTTGCCCATGAAAATGGCTGTCCATGGGATGAACACACATGCAGCCATGCTGCAGAGGACGTTGATTTGGATATCCTGAAATATGTCCATGAAAATGGCTGTCCATGGGATGAGCACACATGCAGCAATGCTGCCTTGTTCGGCCATTTGGAAATCCTCAAATATGCCCATGAAAATGGCTGTCCATGGGATGCTAGCACGTGCAGCAATGCTGCCGAGTACGGTCATTTGGACATCCTCCAATTCGCCCATGAAAATGCCTGTCCATGGGATGAGCGCACATGCAGCAATGCTGCCAAGCACGGCCATTTCGAAATCCTAAAGTATGCCCATGAAAATGGTTGTCAATTGAATGAAATTGATGTGCTCCGCTTTGGTACCTGGGAAGCATCAGCTTGGGTTCGAGAAATGATCTCCCAGAGGCAGGCCTGAAGTTTTCTTCTACTCTAGTAGTGTAGTCATTTCAGTTTTTTGTTATAGTCAACGGGCAAAGCATATTATGGTTGATACTCTGCCTGTAGCTGCATTCAAGCAGCCAAGTAGGTCAGTTTGGCGCTGATGGGGACTGCCCGTACAACAGGCTACTATGTTGGAAATTGCCGGCACAGCAACGACTTAATACAAAGTGGTACCTGTTGTCTCTTCTTCTACCCAGTTTTTTCTTCTTCGTCGGCCAAACTTATTATCTTGCCCTTGCGAGTGGGCTTCTCAATTTTCTGAAGACGTCTCGCCGAGCATCCCCAAAGGAAGGAAGCAAGCCCTGCATCCTCAAGTAGTGACGATTGAAACTGAGTCGCCTAGAGAACGTTGCTTGAGGTCCGTTTACCTGCAAGTGTAACTAAACTTTGTTCTCTGCGTTTCCATCCCACCAACAACGCCGTCGTGCCTTGGAAGTTTTCGTTTTCATCTGATCGTGTTGGGCAGGTCCAATGGTATGGCCGGATTGCGAGAACCCGCTGAAACGATCTTGCAACGAACACATCGAACCATTTCTCGAATTGCGTCGAACTGACAGCTCTGCCCATGGCGTGTGAGAAGGGTGTGTGCAGCGCCACAGCTTTTCTCCTTGGACCAAGGGAGACTTGATTTTTCAAGTAAATGTGGCTTGCCTCTGGTCAGCACAGGACGTCTTGCTTCTGTGCATCAAACTTCAAAATCCATTTCAATTCCACTGATAGTTTGACCGACGTGTGGCGTCTGACGTTGTTGTTGATCAAGATTCGACACATAACTGGTTGTAGCGATTTCTTCCGTCGGTGATGATAGTTGTTGTTGTTCTATATCTGTTCCTTGACTCCTACCAGACTCCGAGGGAAGACTAAACAGCGAATGCTCATCATCCTCCATAATCACCGTCTTGGCATCTCCGTCTACTGCCGCTCCTGTCATGACTATATAATCTTCTTGATTGGTCATGAAAGCCGAGGGCATGTTGATGAACACAAACATGGGCAAAGCGGCGCCACACAAAATGGCCAGGGCCAAATCGGGTCGCACAGGCCAAAACAAGAGTTCCACATAGACCGTCATCAATCCCAGCACCAAGTTGCAGACCATCTGCACCAGAGAACATCGTTTGCCAGGGCGTCGAGACATCCAGGACACATTGACCAGAGTCAACAAGCAACCGCCACTGAAAAAGGCAGGGACCAGCAGCAAAAAGACCATGGTAGTCTCGGAATCGACATGGCTGATCGCGGCAATGGCTAAACCCAGACAGACCACGGTACCACCCAAAATTATCATGTTGGAAAAGGTACGGGCAAAGTGTTCCTTGTCAAATTGGCGTCTAGTAGTAGAGGTTGGGTGTGGAGATGCTTCTTCCCGAGCTGTCCTCTCGACCGTACCATCGCGGGAACTGCTTGTAACTGGCAGGGAAGGCTCAGTGGGAGGAGACGCCATGACGGTCGACAATATCTTTGCTCTCAAACAACGATAATGACAGGACAGCACCGGTAGCGGCTTTGTGCATCTCTGTGCTCTCTTGCAAGAAAGTAAAGAACCTGAAGATGGATTGTACAGGGATCGTGGATCTGAAAGAAGCTTATTGAGCCGGTGGCAAAGTTCCATTGCTTTGCTATTAGCTGGTTTGGTCCAAATCCACACCAGTACCCCGAGCGAACCGGTGGCTAGCTAGCAGAGCTGGCTAGCTACGGTAGCCAAGTACGTGTAGCTGGTGACAGGTGTATGCATAGACCTCAACAAACTGCTCGCAAACCGATGAATGACAATCAAGCTAGAGCAAGGAAGCAGGTTTCTGGTATTGTTGCAGGCGCCGCTGATGCTAAAGAAGACATCTGATACGTACGGTACCGCACCAAGCCAAGGGCTCTTCTGTGGTGAAGAACAATGACGGCACCATGACGGTTGGTTTCTACCGGTATGGTGCTAGACCTTTTGGGCTTTCGCGAGGAAACTGAACTGCAGGATGAATCCAAAATCCAACAGATTCTTAAAAAAACGCACTAAGTAGTATGACAACTCAAGACTCTCTTGACCCGGCCAAGGGATGATGGCCATGGAATAGTCAAGTTGAAGACGATTGAAAATGGAACAAAACAAGAGCCTGTCTCTTCTCTGACTACTGCTGTGAATACCTTGAGGCAAACAAAAAAAATACAAGTAGACTATGTTTGGCGCACCAAAGCCTGCAACACACTCTTGGGGTGGAGGAAGCTGGGAGTGATCACGCGCCGGTACATGCGGACAGCCCAACTGCTGATCCCATCCAGAACGAACTTATTAAGCAGGCAAAACCAGCACTCTGATGATGCCGTACCGGTACCAAATCAAAGAAGTTTTCTTGGAATATTCATTCGTACTAATAATAAGCGGCTATACTACTGTACAATGGCAACCGGCAGCAGCGCCACAGACTGCTGCTTTGCCGAGCTACAGCGCCATGCATGTACCCGGTCGTTCTTACGCTCTTGTGGCATCAAAAGTGCTTGTGACTCAACTCAATTTGTGCAGATTCATTCCAAACATTGCTGGGTTGACGTCTCTTCTGCCTTTCAAGAGTGAAAAAAGTATGGCCATGGTGGTTCCGAGTGGTGGAGGAATGAATGGAGGAAATGAATTGTTGACCACACTGTTGTGCCCTACTATTCTCAAGCATGTAACACCACTTCTTCTTTTGGCATTTTATCTCCTTCTCCGTCACATAGACTTGCATTATCCATGACGGTGGTTCGTTGAGTATTGTCTTCGTTGTCGGCCATCTGTTCCTTCTTGAAAGCTTCAACGTCGTCTACAAGCGTGGCATCGTCCATAGCATCTTGGTCAAGACAGATAGTATCTCCATCTTGAAAGATCATTTGCTCGGGTGTCTTCTTGACGAAGCAAGTCGGTAGATTGATCATAATCAGCATCGGGAGTCCGGCGAGGAACAAGATGGAGTAGGCGATTCCCGGATACGGCCAAAAGAGGAGCTCCAGATAGGATGTGATCAAGAACAAGACCACGTTGCAGATCACTTGAATGGCCGAAATGCGGACACCTGGTCGACGAGCCATCCATGATACATTCACCAGCCCCAGTAAGCAGGCTCCACCAAACACGGTGCCTCCCACAATAAAGACGGTCAAGACGAGATGTTCATTCGTTACTTCACTGGCCGCGTAAATCGCAAACACCAAAGCTGTCAGCGTCCCGCCCAATATAAAGACGTTGCTACAGATGTGAGCAATTCGTTCGGCTGTCCAGCCTTGTTGACGTTGATAGCCAGGACAACAGGGCGTCAGACAGTAGTTTCGTGGTCGAGGAGGTAATCCGTTGGAAGTACTGGCAACGGCTGTAGCAGCCGAGGAGTTGGCTGGGCTATCGAGAGGAGGCATGCACATGAGAGAAGAATATGGAAGAGCTGATCAGCAGGTAGACCGAGAGAATGGCAATGAGGCGCAAAGGAGGGAGAGAACTGAAGTTTGGAGAAGATAAGCTTAATTATGCATAGGTTTGACAACATGAACAGCGTGTTGAAGCTTTCGGTGAAGGCAGCTAACGTGGCAAAATTCGAGGTGGCCAAAAGAAGAGCAGGTAAATCGTGAATAAGGCTTCCCGTTTTGAATTGAACTCAATCGCGTCCCACCCTAAATCCTTGAAAGACTCACCTTTTGGCGGGGCAGTTTTTGCGTTCTTGCAACTCTCTTTTGATGAGCTGCGTAGTGTACCGGTATCTGCCGGTGCTCTGCATGTACGGTAGCTAGTAGCTAGTGGAACACTTACTTGAGTGGTGATACATGTACATGCACATGTACCCACCTATTGGAACAGCTTTGAAAGAGATGCCAATGGTGCTCTGTAACGGCGATGCTGTCTTGGCTTCGACGTTATTCGGAACCAACGTACCAGGCCAAGGCTGAGCTTCCGTACGGCGGGTACAATGCAGTGGCGGAACTGGAGGCCTTGCAGATGGTATTGTTGCTTCTTCGTGGGACACTCTTAGCCACATGCACGCCAAAATTTTTTCCTTAATGTATGTGGGTGATTGGGTTTGTCCCACCCTTGCTTGCTCAGCCAAAGCATTCAGACAGCTACAGTACAGGCGGGGTTCATGATATGACTGTCACGCGACTTACAGTCTGTCAGTCAACCGGTAGCCACAGAGGATCGATTAGCGATCCTCTCACTCTTTTCATTCTAGTTCTTTGTTATCAAGTTACTAGCCGTAGAGTCCTCCGACAGGTTATGAGCCCTGCTACCGCTTCTAATGCTAAGATACATGCTACCATTGCCATTACCATTGCCATTGCCATTGCTACCATTCGATCCTTTGTTAACAACGAAACGATCGCTTACTTGAGTCTCAACAACGACCGACCGACCGAAAGGTCGAACGGCCGATCTCGCCTTTCCGACCACTTCCAGTCGATACAAAGGTAACCATACGACTGCATAAGTCTATACAATAGAGCTACTACATCAAATAACACCAAAAACCCTTGGAAACGACGACCGAAAAGCGCCATTGTCCCTCTTTTCGCTCCACGAAAGCAACTCCACGAAAGCAACGAACGCACGAAAAACAAAATCATCAGAATTCCGACGCTGACATCATCAGAATTCCGACGCTGACATCATCAGAATTCCAAGGAACACGCTGACATCATCAGAATTCCACGGAATTCCGAAGACGTTTTCCACGCTTTAAAAATCTTCCACTTTCCACTCCACGGTCCGAGTTTCCACTCCACGCTCCGAGTTTCCACTCCACACCGAGTTTCCACTCCACGCCCAAGTTTCCACTCCACGCTCCGCTTCCACGCTTTGCTTACCGTATACCCTATACGTACGGAACGACTTGCTAGACTCATTTACGATACCCATTGATTCGTTTGAGCTACGGTTGACGAGCTACGGCCCCATTTGTCCGATCCTATTCAGTTGTCCGTCCCTCAAGTCGTTGGTTGTCCGTCCCTCAAGTCGTCTGCCCCCATCAAGTGATTGTGACTTTCTCTGGTGTCAGGATAAAGACGTTAAAACCAGCCCATACATCTCAAGTGCGAAAGCTATCTTGTTTTCTTCTGGACGTCCATTATGACTGATTTTTCTACTATCATTGACTTCCATGTCAGTTTCTCAGAATCTGATCGTCGGTTGCAAGCACATACCCAGCTGAACCTTCTCTACAGCGACTCACTTCCACATCCTGAGAACTTGTTCACTGCAAACCCACCCCGAAGCGATAATGTCCTTGCTGAAGCTGCTTTAATAGCCGAGATCCGTCGACAGATATGTGAATACTTGATTGTTCCTTGGGCCAATGAAACTCTTGTTGATCCCATCAATACCATTCGTCCTATTGTCAATGGTATGGGTATCAGTATTTCCTACGGCACTCACGCACCCCGTCGTTTGACTCAAAGTAGCTTCAATCGGACTCTCACCGATGCTGTCAATGATGGTGCTACAGAAATCTACCTCACTATCCCTGCCAGTTTCCTCTACTTTGACAACCGAGAAGTTATCAGCTACCGCAATTGGAATCATATTGGAATCCATCCATTCCCACTCCCAGCACCACCTCCTGCCCATCCTTCAGCTACTGTTTGCTGCGCTGTTGCTCGTGGCGCAGTCAGTCCCACCAACTGCAGTCATGTTGGCCGTGCTGTTGCTGGAGCCAAATATTGCTGCTCTCTTTACTCTGGGTTGCGGTCGTGGTGGACCAACCTGGACCTGCACCACCTGGAGGCCCCCATGGTCCTCCTCCTCCGCCTGTAACCATCTGGACATTCAATGCTGGTGGTTTACCAGTTGATGTCAAAGCCAGGTACGATCTCAAAATGAGCAATGGACTCCTCACTGGAGCACAACTTTCCACTCCCTATCTCGGAGGAGCCTTTTATCACCTTGAACATCCTTCTGCTATCATTACCAGTGACGGCACTCTTTACATCAGCCCCAATGGTGGTGTACCAGATGAAAAAGGTCTTATTCGATGCCCTGTCATGTGTGATGACGATACTCATACTGGTGTTCGGAGTTGGTATAAGAACTGGGTTGCTCATTGCATCAAACATGGCTTCTATGCTCATCCATTTCACTGCTTTCGCAGAGACCATGGAGGAGCTCGTGGTTTTACTGTTGGAGCTAATGCAGTTGATGACTTGCCGCCTTTGATGGATATTCCAATTCAGCGAATGGCGGGCACTCTGTTTCAAGTACTATCACAAAAAGGAATGTTCCCTTCAGGAAGTCGCCTTCCTTTCATTGTTGCTTCCTGTTATGGGGATGGTTACAAGGCCATCAAAGGCATTCTCCTTAAGTCACATCCATCCTTTCATGACCAACCAGCTACTTTGATTAGAGGCTATCCAAGACAACAGAAGAATGAATCTCTTCTTCAGTATTTCTCTCGCTATGATGACTACATTGATCTGCGAGCCCTCATTTGTGATGACAACCGCGATCTCACAGCTACAACTGAGATTGATAACTTCATTGCAGGAACTTTGCATGCCGATTTCTTGAATAGATGCAGTCGAGATGAACGCCGTCAAGCTGCCCATCTTCACAAGTACCAAGGCAACCAAATTGTCGAAACTTTAGAAAAGTTCCTTTCAACTGTTGACAGTCCTATCCATCAGACTCGCCAGTCTTTTCAGCGTCCTAGAACCAATTCAACTCCAGCTCGACGACCATCTTTTGGACCAATGCAAACCACGTGGCAGCTAACATCTGCTACTATCTCGCAGAGATTAATTTCACTGTCATCGTCCATCTTCGCCGATTGCCGTCGAATCATGCGCCGGTGCTTCCTTGGGGTACGAGAATACCTTTCCCCGTACAGCTACTGCGGCATCTGCATCTTCGTTTGGTGGCAGCATCAGTCAGATTTGATTCAAACGTTGGTGTTCTTCTCGTTTTTGGTCGTCTTTGGTGCAATACAGCTGCTTCTTCCGATCGCAACTTGTACGGTTGTGTTGGTATCAATAGGTTCATTCCATGCACTTGCTGATGCAGTTGGTGTACAAACATGGATTGAAGTCGAAAAGAAGCTGGGAATGGTGAAGAGACGCGCAAATTCGCATAAGAACTCTACTCCGAAGAGTTCCAAGCCTCAAGAACTTTTGGGCACGATATAGGTGCTCTTCCGAATTAGACAAGAGTCAGTCTCTTGGGCGCGCAGAGGAGGACGATCTGTGTACTTTCCACTGGTGCAGATGGAGTAGGGGGCCTACCGGGAGCTAGCATGCCATGCTGGGGTCAAGAAGAAGCGGAACTCCCCACCAAAGTGCTTTACGGTATCTAGGACCGGTAGCCAGCGAAAGAGGTGACGATTTAAGCAACGTTTGCATGATCGCACAAATAGTTCCATCGTTTGGTTACAATCAATTACAAGCACTGATTCTTTATTTCGAATGCTCTTCTTCGTACAGTAGATATCTTCGAAGTGATCACTCAGCAATGAACTTTGTGAGCAATCTCTTTAGCTGGGCTTTGACTTTGGTGCTGTCTTTGAATGGTGCAGGCTTTGGTTTAGCAAAAGATGCCTCAACAAATTGATTGAGGATCCGCGCACAGTTCTCAATCTCGACCGGGTCCAGAGTAGAGCCGTAGCCTCTGAATTCAATGGTGTTCCTGGGGTTCTCCTTGCTGAATAGATTTTGCATGTTGAGCTTGTGGTATCTGTTTCGGTTGTCCGGGTGGGCGTTCATGAGCTTCACTAGCTAGTCCCGCAATGTTCGTTTGACCGTCGATCATTTGAAATACTTGAGGCGTTGTGGGGTGTCGAAGCATGCAGCCATAGCGGAAACGAAGATAGCGTATTCTATCATTTCCATCTCATGATACGTACGTCTCGCTGCGCAGATCTCAATACTCGACTTCATCCCCAGTGTTGTAGTTCATCTTCTTCAGCTTAGCCCCACTGATTCTACCACACCTTCACTATCAGCTACAAACTCCGAAGAGACTCTGGAATCTCTGACTGATGATTTGGCCAGCCTTCCACATCCCAACCACAAAAAGGAGTTGTTCTACATTTACAATGCTTGTGTCCATCGTATCCAAGCTCAACCTTCCTATGTTGATGCTCCCACTTGTATTTGTTGTGGAGCTCAACACAGATTTGATGAATGCCCTGTTCTTCTCAGCACATCCTTTCTCAAAGATCATTACATCAGATGGTGTCAACAGTTGCGTCGAGAAACCTCTGCTCGAGATCGAGCCTTTCCCTCCAATACTCAATCTGTATCTACCAACTTTGTTGATACATTTGATTCCCATCCAGATTCTGGTATTGGTTCTGACACCAGTGAAGATCCGATGGCGGATTTTCAACTGGGCCGCTCCTAAACACCATGGAGTGCCGCCCCTGTCTGGTCCAACCCACACTGCATTCTTGCGGGACGAACATGGAGACCCTACCTGGGCTTTCGTCTATCGCTGATCACAGTCTCCAATCTTCCACTTCCACTTTGCCAGTTTCCAATGTCTCTTCCAGTCCATGTCCAACTGCTCCCTGTATTGAAACAGTATCTGACGACGACCCTCCTGATACATCTAGTCTTCCCCCTCTGTCTCATCTTCCATCTCTTGACAGCTCC